ATTTAACTACAGGATTAAATATTTGGATTTTAGCACAGGACTAAATATCTGGATTTCACCACAGAACTAAATATCTGGATTTCACCACAGAACTAAATATCTCGATTTCACCACAGGACTAAATATCTGGATTTCACCACAGGACTGAATACCTGGTTCCACCACGTGACTAAATACCTGGTTCCACCACAGGATTAATTATCTGGATTTTAGCACAGGACTTAATATCTGGTTTCACCACAGGACTAAATATCCGGATTTCACAATATGACTTAATATCTGGATTTCACCACAGAACTAAATATCTGGATTTCACCGCAGGACTAAATATCCGTATCACCACAGGACTAAATATCTGGATCTTAGTACAGGACTTAATATCTTGATTTCACTATATGACTAAATATCTGGTTTCACCAAAGGACTAAATATCTGGTTTCACCACAGGACTAAATATCTGGTTTCACCACAGGACTAAATATCTGGATTTCACCAAAGGACTAAATATCCGTATCACCACAGGACTAAATATCTGGATTTTAGCACAGGCCTAATATCTCGATTTCACCACAGGCCTAATATCTCGATTTCACCACAGGACTAAATATCTCGATTTTAGCATAGGGCTAAAAATCTGGTTTCACAACAGGACTAAATATCTGTATCACCACAGGACTAAATACCTCGATTTCACCACAGTACTAAATATCTCGATTTCACCACAGGACTAAATATCTGGATTTCATCACAGGACTAAATACCTGGTTCCACCACAGGCCTAATACCTGGATTTCACCGCAGGACTGAATATCTGGTTCCACCACAGGACTAAATACCTGGATTTCACCACAGAACTAAATATCTGGATTTCACCACAGGACTAAATATCTGGATTTCACCGCAGGACTAAATACCTGGTTCCACCACAGGACTAAATATCTGGATTTCACCACAGGATTAATTATCTGGATTTTAGCACAGGACTTAATATCTGGTTTCACCACAGGACTAAATATCCGGATTTCACAATATGACTTAATATCTGGATTTCACCACAGGACTAAATATCTGGATTTCATCAAAGGACTAAATATCCGTATCACCACAGGACTAAATATCTGGATCTTAGCACAGGACTTAATATCTTTATTTCACTATATGACTAAATATCTGGTTTCACCACAGGACTAAATATCTGGATTTCACCAAAGGACTAAATATCCGTATCACCACAGGACTAAATATCTGGATCTTAGCACAGGACTTAATATCTTGATTTCACTATTTGACTAAATATCTGGTTTCACCAAAGGACTAAATATCTGGTTTCACCACAGGACTAAATATCTGGTTTCACCGCAGGACTAAATATCCGGATTTCACCACAGGACTAAATATCCGTATCACTACAGGACTAAATATCTGGATTTTAGCACAGGCCTAATATCTCGATTTCACCACAGGCCTAATATCTCGATTTCACCGCAGGACTAAATATCTCGATTTTAGCATAGGGCTAAAAATCTGGTTTCACAACAGGACTAAATATCTGTATCACCACAGGACTAAATACCTGGATTTTACCACAGGACTAAATATCTGGATTTTACCCCAGGACTAAATATCTCGATTTTAGCACAGGACTAAATACATGTTTTTGATTTTAGTATAGGACTAAATATCTGGTTTCACCACAACATTGAATGCCTGGAATTGAAATCGAAAATGTATTATACATATTTTTTGTTCGACTTTATATATATTGATATTTCCCCTGATGGACCTCTAAAGATGGGAAAGTACTAGAGAAGTACTTGGAAACTCTTTTGTCATTTCTTGTACATGTATATCGCACCATCACAAGGACTTTAGATGTGTTTTGTATTTCATTGATATATATATATATTTCATTGATATATATATATATATATATATATATATCTGCTGTTAAAATATAGTCCGTAAGGTTCATATAAATCCTCTGAAGAATCTCCTAGAAGAGATAATAGTACTTAAGACTCGTTGTTGAGAACTTTTCTTTTTACATTATTTCTTCGTCCGTAAGGATCATTTTTTCTTCTTTTATAATATATATCTATAAATATGTGTACCACTTTTGTCGTCAAAGTTGTGTTCGATAAAGTTCGTCGTTAGAGCTTAAAATTAGAACAAGATACTGTATCAGACTTAAATCTATATAATTTCCCCTTAATTTTTAAGCGAACTCATATCGTCTTTTGCTCGAATAGGTAACACTCTTTTATCTCAACTGTCAATCCGCTCACCAATGATGTCATCAAACGAATCAATTTTGAGACTGAATCGAAAACCACTTGCCATGAAACTTGTCTTATCTGACCCCTTAGTATAACGATTAATCGTCTATTCCTAAATATTGTCAAAATCCAAAAGATCTGTTTGAAAATTCACACTACCATATATTTTTTGTTGGAAAAACACCTCTATTCGACAGCAGGACGTAAGAGAGTCCTAACTATTCTAAACTGTGACAAAATATAAAAGATATAAGAGGTTCATATGCCCAATTAAAAAAGAAGGTTTTCGTCGACAACACAAAGGAGGAAATTGTTGTTGCTTTTTCTTACATTGAGTAAAAGATATTTTTCTTAAAGTCATCTTAGTCAGCATCACTCCAAAAACAATCCGACTAATTGGCAGCTAAATACTATAGTTCTCCGAGAGATACGTGGGCGGACTAGGAAATATGAAACACCTCAAAAAGTTATAAATATACTGCCCATCACAATCACATAAACGTTTTTCGCTGAATGTCTGATTCAAAACATAGGATGTTTGTCGACAAGGGACGGTGCACCGTATAAGGATTAGTGTCAACGTTTTAATATATCAGTAAGTTTAGCACGTGAACAGAATGCGGACTTCTAGTTCAGTGCTAAGCTGACGTGGAATGTCATTATTTGGTACCTTTCCAGTTTATGCCGAAGTTTTCCGATAGTATAGCTGGCATGGAGCTGCAGATAGATTTTACACCAGGTACATATAAAGAAATACATTTGTGTGTGAAATGCAGACAGTTTTGTATCCTTGGGCTAGCCGACAACTATCTGACACTCCATAGTGACCACACGATTCTGCTGACAACATAGTGTTACCCTCCATAATGTACGGTTTGTTTTCTTTCATGTTCATAGAGTATAATTTCAGTATACTGCCGTCGTTTGTTAAGCTAAAATTCGGCATTGTGAAAGGTTTTGAGGGATATATACAGCGGCTTTATCAATCAATATGGACAAAGAGAAACTAGACTACGTCAGTGGTAAGTTATCTTAGTCCCAGGCTGAGATAACTCTCTAACCTTAGACAGTTGTATCCTTACTTTTTCCGGTGTGAGATATCCTTTTCTCCAACCTATCATATGCGTGTCTCCCTTTTAAGCCGGATATGATCAGCTTGTTACCCCCTAGCGGGAGATAGGCTCATGCAGAATGGCGAGTGTTTAACAATAGTATGACGTCACGTCATCAATGCGTGGACGTCATGTCAACAGCTTCAGATTTTGGGGGAGAACTCTGGGTTTGCTAGAAATGCAATCACTTGCTAGTTGGCGGAAAAACAAGCATCCCCAACCTTGACAAACGTGGGTAATACATTATCATCCCGAGGGTAGATGCTTTCTCTATCACACCCTCAAGGTAGGGGAGGCTTCTATTCATTAAAAATGGTTTACGTCACGTATAGCAATACAATGCAGTTACGTCAATAATGCATCAACGTCTAGAGACAGCGGTGGACAAGTGGTTAATGCGTCTGACATTCTGCTACCATGAGCCCTCCACCACTGGGTAGCGGTGGTCAAGTGGTTAAGGCGTCTGGCATTCTGCTACCATTAGCCCTCCACCACTGGGCTGCGGTGGCCAAGCGGTTAAGGCGTCTGGCATTCTGCTACCATTAGCCCTCCACCACTGGGCCGCGATGGCCAAGTGGTTAAGTCGTCTGACATTCTGTTACCATTAGTCCTCTACCACTGGGCCGCGATGGCCAAGTGGTTAAGGAGTCTGACATTCTGTTACCATTAGTCCTCTACCACTGGGCCGCGATGGCCAAGTGGTTAAGTCGTCTGACATTCTGTTACCATTAGTCCTCCACCACTGGGCCGCGGTGGACAAATGGTTAAGGCGTCTGACATTCTGCTACCATTCGCCCCCCACCACTTGGCTGCGGTGGCCCAGTGGTTAAGGCGTCTGACATTCTGCTACCATTCGCCCCCCACCACTTGGCTGCGGTGGCCAAGTGGTTAAGGCGTCTGACATTCTGCTACCATTAGCCCCCCACCACTTGGCTGCGGTGGCCAAGTGGTTAAGGCGTCTGACATTCTGCTACCATTAGCCCTCCACCACTGGGTCGCGGTGGCGAAGTGGTTGAGAGCCCCCTATCTCTATTCTATTAATCTCGCTCAGTTACAGGTAATATATTTTATTTCTTGCACCATTTCGTTCGAAAACAATATTCAATTTCGCTAAAGACTACAAGTATCCTGTGTGGGGCCTGAAATAAATATGGCCTTTTCACTACTTAAGCTACATTTGAATGCTTCCGCGTAAAAATGTAGTCCGTCCGTACAAAGAAGATAAAGCCTTTCACAGTGAAGATGTTATTTTGTCTACATCATCGGGAATCTTACTACATCAAAACAATATGTGTAACGAAAAAACAGAATATTTCTAATCAAGGATGTAAATTTTGAGCTATTATTGCGCGGATAAATGCATTGATGGGTAAACCATCCGCGAAACGTCACGTAAAGGTACCAAACAGACCGTATCTGAAAGAAAAATCTAGCACGGATTATGACGTGAAAGATCTCTGTCTGAAGAGTGAGAAAACGATTTCTGTGATTGACCTTATCTTGTAAGATTCTAAAAAGGAAATTCAAAACATGCACAGGGGCATTTATATTCCATAGGGGGATCAAAAGTGTAACAGAATTCCTTAATGTGTTTATTTTTTGTATTTTTCAGTCGACCAAGTGTAAAAAGCTAATCCGGCTCAGTCCAAAGTCTAAGAAAAAACGTGTGAAGGAATCGAACGGAATGGATGGTTGTCACAGTGCGGACCATATTGACGTGAAGGAGTGCTATAGTCGTAATAAGCTTCCAAACGGCTTCACAGACAAAGAAAGCCAAGGTAGGTTCCGAATGTATCCGAGTTTCAGTGTGAATGCCTCAATGCCTCATTATGAGCAAAGTTATCGTCGCTATTATATACTATTGTGAAAAGTAATGGGCGAGTTTGATATTTCCGAATTATATATCTGAATTCGAATGTTTAATTTGTGTCTTTAAACATGCATCTTAAGGATCGAGTGGAAACTCGTAACTTGTCATAGCGAAACATAAGTTATAACTATTTACGTAAGTTGGTCAGATATATTTTAGTCGTTTTCCTCTCGAACATATATAACAGTTGTGAAATTGTCATTGTGACCTCATTTTATAACTTTGACGTCAGTGTGTTGCTATGAAGTCAGTACAAAACGGATGATTCAGAACTAGGAAAGTCACCAAACTTTGACACGATATCAGCTCAGTGATGTCGAGTAACCAGCAACGTTTATCTTAAATACTGACATTATGTTTACCTTTTAAGTGCAATTTATATCCCCTATTTCGTGTTTATTAGGCGGAAATATGAATTTCAAATAAATATTCAAGTTCGCCCTACGAACCCTCATTTGAGCCCAAATATTATTGTCTCCTAGGAATTGCCGTTTCTTGATAGGCCATGCTTATCAAACCGATGTTACTCGAATTATTCTAAACACAGGTAATATTTTTTCTAATGATGCGAAACATCATAGTATGAATATGAATAAAGGATGATTGCTCAAAGCAAGTTCTGTATCGTCTGCCCACAATTGATGTCCATACCTGTCACCAGATACAAATCATTCCGGTACAATAGCGTCACTTAATACCGAGACATGCAACGCTTGTATCTAAAACTGGCTCATTGGAAGTCACAGAAGTAACGCATTATTATACAGTTACTTCAATTGCAAAACTTCTCAGTCAGACTTCAAAAGGCGCAGTGTAAGGATTTTATTGCTGTCATATTCTCCAATAGATTTTTTTTTGCCGCTGTGCAGAAAGGCATATTATTGTTATTATGTTTTGCACTGCATCTTGAAGTAGATGCTATACAGTTAGTGGCTCCATCGATTGGCCTCCCACGACCGTCAGTAGAAGTTCTACGCCGCCCACACACACGCATGCGCAGACTTACAGCTGTATGATGGTAGCCAATGTTATCACGCTGGCCGCATTGTTACGACAAACAGTTCTTATATAATGATTTAATCATAAGTTTTTCCGATTCCATGGGATGATAATTGTCTTGAGACAACTTAAACTCCTTAGCAGTTAATTAAAAAAAGTTAAGCACAACACGATTTATTACCCAATAGAGTTGACAATTACAAGACTAATCCTCAAATGAACTTTTAATATACTTGACCAAGTGAACATGGGTTTGATTTATAATGATTCTGAGCAATCTGACCTAAATGACTGGGATAAAGATGGATATCAAAACTACTAGTAATAGTGCATTAGATTTGTTTAAGTAAATGGATTTTGTGGAACGTCTAAATTTGACATGAACTTGAAAATAATATTGTATAAAGTGTGTGCTATAGTTTTCCCAATATATTTCTTGGTAAAATAATATCGCATAGCCAGCATTTTCAAGCTATATAATAAAAAAGCATTGTATACAGATATTAAAGCCTGCGAGATATTTGCTGGAAATTACGGTAACATGAATACCTGCACCCAATAAATCGTGCTTGATTTTATCGCTTTAGTATATATTGTCCCTCATTTTGTTTGTAATTCTCCTATGTTCATGTTGTCCCTCCCTTTGTTTGTATTTCTCCTATGTTCATGTTGTCCCTCCCTTTGTTTGGATGTAGCCTCAGTTTATGTTGTCCCTCTTTTTGTTTGTATTTCTCCTATGTTCATGTTGTCCCTTCTTTTGTTTGGATGTTGCCTCAGTTTATGTTGTCCCTCATTTTGTTTGTATTTCTCCTATGTTCATGTTGTCCCTCCTTTGTTTGTATTTCTCCTATGATCGTGTTGTCCCTCCTTTTGTTTGTATTTCTCCTATGTTCATGTTGTCCCTCCTTTTGTTTGGATATCCCCTTCTGTATTGTCGTTCCGTGACAACACTGGGGTCGGGTTTTATTCTGGTTTGTGAAGGCTGTCGTCTATTTTATTCTCTTTTCACTTTGATTGGTTGTTGGACTAGCTAACTTTCACCACGCGTTGGTAACACACTTATCGGCTAGTATGCGTATTAACTCTAGGACCACGAGTTGGTACATGTAACACACTTGTCGGCTAGTATGCGTATTGACTCTAGGACCACGTGTTGGTAACACACTTGTCGGCTAGTATGCGTATTAACTCTAGGACTACGTGTTGGTAACACACTTGTCGGCTTGTATACGTATTGACTCTAGGACCACGTGTTGGTAACACGCTTGTCGGCTAGTATGCGTATTAACTCTAGGACTACGTGTTGGTAACACACTTGTCGGCTTGTTTACGTATTGCCTCTAGGACCACGTGTTGGTAACACACTTGTCGGCTAGTATGCGTATTGCCTCTAGGACCACGTGTTGGTAACACATTTGCCGGCTAGTATGCGTATTGAATCTAGGACTACGTGTTGGTAACACACTTGTCGGCTTGTATACGTATTGGCTCTAGGACCTCGTGTTGGTAACACACTTGTCGGCTAGTATGCGGATTGACTCTAGGACCACGTGTTGGTAACACACGTATCGGCTAGGATGCGTATTTACTCTAGGACCACGTGTTGGTAACACACGTGTCAGCTAGTATGCGTATTGACTCTAGGACGTCGTGTTGGTAGTCGGCTAGTATACGTATTGCCTCTAGGACCACGTGTTGGTAACACACTTGTCGGCTAGTGTGCGTATTTACTCTAGGACCACGTGTTGGTAACACACTTGTCGGTTAGTATACGTATTGCCTCTAGGACCACGTGTTGATAACACACTTGACGGCTAGTATAAGTATTGCCTCTAGGACCACGTGTTGGTAACACACTTGTCGGTTAGTATACGTATTGCCTCTAGGACCACGTGTTGATAACACACTTGACGGCTAGTATAAGTATTGCCTCTAGGACCACGTGTTGGTAACACACGTGTCGGCTAGTATGCGTTTTGACTCTAGGACGTCGTGTTGGTAACACACGTGTCAGCTAGTATACGTATTGCCTCTAGGACCACGTGTTGGGAACACACTTGTCGGCTAGTATGCGGATTGACTCTAGGACCACGTGTTGGTAACACACGTGTCTGCTAGTATACGTATTGCCTCTAGGACCACGTGTTGATAACACACTTGACGGCTAGTATAAGTATTGCCTCTAGGACCACGTGTTGGTAACACATTTGCCGGCTAGTATGCGTATTGAATCTAGGACTACGTGTTGGTAACCCACTTGTCTGCTTGTATACGTATTGCCTCTAGGACCACGTGTTGGTAACACACGTGTCGGCTAGTATGCGTATTGACTCTAGGACGTCGTGTTGGTAACACACGTGTCGGCTAGTATACGTATTGCCTCTAGGACCACGTGTTGGTAACCCACCTATCGGCTAGTATGCGTATTGACTGTAGGACCACATGTTGGTAACACACGTGTCGGCTAGTATGCGGATTGACTCTAGGACCACGTGTTGGTAACACACGTATCGGCTAGTATGCGTATTGACTGTAGGACCACATGTTGGTAACACACGTGTCGGCTAGTATGCGTATTGCCTCTAGGACCACGTGTTGGTAACCCACCTATCGGCTAGTATGCGTATTGACTGTAGGACCACATGTTGGTAACACACGTGTCGGCTAGTATGCGTATTAACTCTAGGACCACGTGTTGGTAACACACGTATCGGCTAGTATGCGATTTAACTCTAGGACCACGTGTTGGTAATTGTACCAAATCCACTCTCTGACACACTGCCAGCACTGCATTCTTTACAAAACATTCCACTCCTATACATGTTTGACTGGTAGGAGGGAAGCCAAGCTTTGTTCAGAACACGGTGTGTCTAACCAAGTCGGAATTACTAAGCGTGTTATATAGGTTTTTAAGGATGTATGTTTTTTCGTCATGATAATGGATCCCGTAAACGCTTGAAAAGTAGTAAAAGCGTTCGTTCGAATTAGACTTAAAGAGCTATAATCTTGATGGATATATGGCCTAGCTATTTACTCAATAATCATATGTTCAAGCGCCAAATACTTTTCATTTCGATTTGTTTAGAATAAACATACTTCCTACAAGTAGTACCATAATCCTTTGTAAGGAGGGCCTGACAAAGGTACGCCCACGTGTAAAGAAGGCCTGACAAAGGTACGCCCACGTGTAAGGAGTGGCTGGTTGTGGCAGTCGACTTACGACAATGTGTTTATGTCTCACATACTCGTGTTTTAGAAACTCATTTCAATTATGGAATTTCATCCCTCTCTGGAGATAAATTAATAGGCTGAAAATAGTTGCGTTTATGTCTGCTGCTTTCTCCGTTTCTACCTATGACGTCAACCAGAATGTCATACTTTGATAAAATGTTCTTCACGAGTGTAATGTTATCGGATTTTTTTGTAATCAGTTTTTCTTTCCTGATAACTCAGTCAGCATCATATCTGATATTCCAGCATTGTGTAATAACTAAGGACTATTTTTGTTTTGCCCAATCTGTGATTTGCTTTAGTCATTGTCGATTTAAACAAGACCTGTTCTACAGTAGCTTTATTTTCCTACACATTACAAACATGTCCTTGCTAATAAATGCATTAAGATGAGTGACTCAAAGCTGTCAGACTATCCAGGAACCTAGTGTTATCAAGCAGAAAAGAAACAAACAAACATGGCGTTGATCAGCTTCGTGTTTTGACGGAGATGCCTCGGTGTAGGAAAGTAAGTGATAGCTCGTTGATAGTTTTCATAATGCAATGACAGCTTTATGTGATTTAAAGGGACTATTGCCGTATATATTTAATACCCATAAAACAGGAAATCAGTGCTATAAATGTTTAAATCGGCCAAAAATAAAGAATTTTCAGGGGCGGATCCAGGATTTGCTAAAAGGGGGGGCCGATAATTTTTTCTCAATAGTCAACGGTGTGCTGCGAAAGGCAGCAGCCCGAGCGCGTAGCACGAGGAGGGGGAGGGTACAGACCAAAGAATGTGTTTTCTAGAACGTCTCAGAAGCGATTTTCCGTGTTCTGAGGACTGTTTTTATGTTTAATTAATGAAGAAGAAAAAACATATTTTAAGTATGGCCCAAAGACTTCATTATTACCTAATTTGGCGTCCCGCCCGCAAGGGGGATACGAGAGGTCCACCGTCAAAATATAAATCTAGTCTTCAGACATTGTACGTTTGTCGTTCAAAAGAACAAATAACACCATAACATCGTTGCTGTTTAATTAATGAGTTACTCATGGCATCACTAAGTTACTAAACAAACGGTAAGTTCAAATCAGTGCGACACCCAAGGCAAAAAGTTTTGGACCTTTTTTTTTGCTAAAAAACATAAAATAATTGTGAAATGCACTAATGTAACGGTTCCTGACTTGGAGCATGTATATTTTATAGTTGAAGTGTCATGGTTTGACATTTTTTTTTATCAGAGTATGTCTTTAATTAATGAGTATGATAAATTGCCATATTCAATACATATTAGCAGATTACGATAAAAAAAAAAATTAAAAAAAAAGGGGGTGTGGTGGGGGGGGGGGGGGGGGCGTACGCCCATTACGCCCTCACCTGGCCCCGCTACTGATATAGTCTCGCGTTTTATAATTGTTGACTAATTCTCTAGTGTAGACAATGATATATCTGAAATGTCCAAGCTGATTAACTAATGTAAGCTTGGTACAACTTAGGAGGCACATACGCGTCACCTTCAAATTTAATTTAAAATTATCATACTTGTTAGTACAGCATATCATCTCATTCTGCTACGTACAACTTCTTACTTCGTACACAATAGTATGCTGTGTGAAGATACTTTCTTGTACGTACACGAGGGTAAGCTATAAGTACCACAATGAGATATTATGTTGTACATACAAGATAGTTAAACAGTTTCAACAATATATATAATACCAAAATAATTGAATGGATATGTTTAGTCGATTATACATAATATTGTCAGCCCGGGGCCGGGGCCGGGTGTGCCCTCCCCTAAATCCGCGCCTGATTTTGCGCTGCCTTACGGCCAAATTTGTTTTATATGGACACATTTTACGGGATTGAAACTTTGTGTTTCTCGGCTGTTGTTTGTATACAGCGCCTTTCTCGTTTACCTTGAGTCACGTGACAATTCTGTCTAACCCCGTCACAGAATTTAATTATGTAACAGTTTTACAGTTGTACGGTATATCCACTCTGAGAATTAGCAGTACCATATATCATTACATAGTGTTGTAAAGCACTCAACAACTGGGTAACGTTGGGTAATCGTAACACTATTATAATCACTATTCGTGTTTGGTTATGTGACCTACTTACCTGTCGGCTATGGAAAGTCGGAATCAAACTTTACTGTCTGTTCCTAGATCTGCCTGCTGCATTTTGTGCAACCCTCTAGTCTTGCCTCTTTTAAGGTCGTACATCTTCCTGTTTAGCTTCTTTGCCATCCCCGTCACGAAAGAACCCAGCTCGTTTCGCATAGCTTCGCCATGTTGTTTTTTTTCTCGTACAAACTCCTGCGCAGTGCTACATGTACTTGCTTAAGAGACTTAATTTATGCATTTAAAACCGGGACGTTTAATTAGAATAAGATTGTTTTACGTAATTATTAGATATGTTTGCAGACACTTTTAATTTGTGTAACTTATACAAACTGTAAGTTGTGTGACATATTTTCTGAAAATGACACGTTTTATGATATTTTTTAACAGTGATGTTTACCATTAAAGTCCATTTAAAGTAATTAAACAAATCACCCGATAATATAAACTATAGCAACATATGTTCTACCGTATCTTACACCCCAGTTGGGGCTGCTGATGCATTTTGTATGTAAGTGGGTAAAAAGAAAGATGTAGCAGCAGATCAAAGCCCGTTAATCGGGAGGTATACAGAAGAAACCATCGATTCTCTTACGTTAACATGCATTGGGATTCTGCAGTGGTTAACTCGCGAGGTATCTGTCTGGTGTAGATGTCCATAGCTAGATAAGTGGTCAAATTTACACGTACACGATTAGATATTTCTTACCGTATTCCGTCTTTGCGTATTATCTTCTCTTGTGAGTAGGTATTGATTGAACATACGTCATTGGTTTGTGTGAGAAAATTACGTCGTTTTCTCATAAATTGATGACGTTACTCTCACAAACAAATGACGTAACAATCAATACCTGCTCACAAGATAAGATAACTCTGCAATACGCAAAGACGGAATACAAAGGATCCAAATGATCGAAACGTCCCTAAACCTATAAACTGTCTGGAACGATAACTACAGTAAACTACGGCTATAGGGAGTCTCAGGGTACCTACTTCATACTAATACCTTAACGCATGCTCTCATTACTTGTTGATGATAAAGAATTAAATAAACAGGGACTGACATCAACGAAAGAATTTGTCTTTGTTGTTAACTTTCAAACTATGCATTCATGTGCTTAACGATCAACAATAAAAAAAAACAATTTGGTAGTAGATACAGTATACCGAAAGTGAATTACACTGCATCATCGACGATGCTAGGGGTCAAAAGGTGGGACGTTCTAATTAGTCTAATCTATTGCTGAAATTAACGGGACGGAGCGTAAAACCCTTTACATTACTGACTTTCAGCGGTAATAGGAGTTCTGGTATCACATTAAATAATGAGTAAAGTGGTAATATTACATTTGTATTAACCGTGCCAATACTCAAATGAGCTAACCTTGGCTATGAAGTTTAGGGTATAAACCTCAATGGGTCCTGAGACAAATTCAAAATGAACTGCTTCGCAGTTCATAAAATCTGTCTCAAGACCAATTGAGGTGTATACCCCATAAACCTCAACAAAACAGAATTCAATCCTTAAATGACGTTATAACTTTTACATCTTCCAGCGGAGGTTTTGCTATCCTTCAAACGTGTCTTGTCTACCTGCACTGATTAAAATCCCCACAGGACAGGAGAAAATCTAAGCTCAAATCGGACAGTCAATAGCACGGCATGTATTACATATATTCTTTGCACGCACGTTCAAAAAAACTATTTTGTCTTATTTCAGAATTAAAACAAGCATTCAATCTCTTCGACAAGAACAATGATGGGAAAATATCGAGTGAGGAACTTGGGTGTGTGATGCGGATGTTACGTCATAACTACACGCAGGAGGATATAGACGACATGATAAAGAACGCCGATACAAACGGTAACAAAATCACTGGAATCACCTATTTAAAACGTTTTGTTGCATATGCCGAAAGTCAAACAAAGTATATACTGCACCATACGGACACTGCGTATATTGAGGACCGATCTGTGATACCTATTGTCAAAGGTCATATTTAATGTGTCTAGAAACACAGGTTACCACTTGCTTAGGGATACGGTTTTTTTAGATTTTAACAGTACTGATATCGTCTGCGAGCTTTATGCTGCACGTTCGTATAGAGGTGGGCTTGTTATTTCGGAATAAAAGAATTCGACACACTGACTTCAAGCCTTAGATGAGAGTATCGTAATGGTTTGTGGTATATGGGAGGTAACTCGAATGATTGGAAATTCTACTGACAGTGGCCAGGTTGTTCCTTTTAAGGTAATAGGATTGTGTCGCCATTTCTCAGTAGAATTTCTTCAAATTTTGTAGTTATATTGCTTTGAAGTAAAGAAAATGTTCTGCCCTAAAAAAAAATAAAGGTTGTCACAATTTTAAGGAATTTAAATGGAAATTTATGTAAAAAGGAGTGACTTTTGAAAAAAAAATGAAAGACACATTTTTTTTGCAAAATAATGTCAATAAAAATGTAACTGCTATAGCTTAGTATTGCATTAATGTATATCAATTTAATAAATGCTGAAATTATGTCAAATAAATTATCTATAAACGATTAAAAATTGACATTTTATGATAAAACCATATGCACATTGTAATTGCAGGTAAGAGTTATCTTTCTTGAAAAAATTCACAGTAGTGAAATAGGTGGCCGGTTTCCTGAAGTACAGAAAAATGGATACATGTGGCTCATTGATAAAAAAAAACTGAATTAATGCCTGCATTGCTTTAAAATACTTCAATATTGAGAGAAAACACTCTTCTGTCAATAATAAACATACAATATTCATCAGTTTAATATTAAACATTAGAATATGCGGAAATTGTGATACTGTCTCCCTACATTTGATTTTCAACTAGGGATGTACTTCCTACTTCCGTTTATCAATACACTCCTATGACCTTCCCTATCAACAGTTACCTCTCCCTAGCTTCCGTTTGGATATACGTGTAGCATAGTTGGGCCAGGACAGTTAAGTTGACACGGTAAATCAAGTGGTTAGAGCAATATAACATCAATTTGAAATCCAGACTCCGAATCCCGTTATAACCCCGCTGATTGTTTTTAGCTCATCTGGCCCGAAGGGCCAAGTGAGCTTATGCCGTGGTACGGCGTCCGGCCTCCGTCCGTCTGTCGTCCGTCTGTCGCCCGTCCAGAGTCAACTTTTAACTTTAAACAACTTCTTCTGAATATCCAAGAGGCCCAGGCTGATGATATTTGGCCAATATCATGCTGGGATGAAGGGTTGCCAAGTTTATTCAAATGAATGACCTTGACCTATATTCAAGGTCATAGGGGTCAGTATAACAGTACCTGGATTACGGTTGTAACAGAACCTGTATTACGGTTGTAACAGTGCATGGATTATAGGTGTAACAGTGCCTGGATTTCAGTTATAACAGTGCATCGATTATAGGTGTAACAGTGCCTGGATTACAGTTGTAACAGTGCATGGATTTCGGTTGTAACAATGCCTGGATTATAGTTGTAACAGTGCCTGGATTTCAGTTGTAACAATGCCGGGATTATAGTTGTAACAGTGCCTGGATTACGGTTGTAACAATGCCTGGATTACGGTTGTAACAATGCCTGGATTATGGTTGCAACAGTGCCTGGATTATAGTTGTAACAGTGCCTGGATTATATTTGTAAAATGCTTGGATTACGGTTGAAACAATGACTGGGACGGTCGGCACTTGGACGGCAGATCCTGAACGGGTTACCGTTCGTATAGAAAGAAGGAGTTTACTTGTTTAGCCATGGCTTTATCGATATACAAGGTGACCTAGATGGTCGTTAGATATACAGAAAGTATTATACATTAATTATCCAGACAAAACGACTGGGTCCTTGTAAGTCTTGCACATCTATCTACTCATATAGACAACTGATACATATGCTATTTGTTTTACAGAGAATGGTTTTGTGGAATTTGACGAATTTGTTGTGTTAATGCGACGATGGCATCAAAACACGGAAGTAGATGGCGCTGCAGCATCATCTTCCGTTTCTCCCATTAGCAACGAGAAACAGTTGGAGGCGTTTAAAGTGTTTGATATGGATGGAAACGGTTATATAGATAAACATGAACTTCGATACACTATGCGAAGACTCGGGGAAAATCTATCAGAAGAAGATATCAAAGAAATGTTTAAAGAAGCTGATTTAAATGGCGACGGGATGATTGATTTCAATGGTAATGTTGCAGTTTCATGTGATTTCATGCACATTAAAATCCCCACAGATCTGCTTCAAAAGTGTACAAACGGACCGTTCCCGGTTCTAGTTTCTGCATAGTCACATTACAGCTTTTGTTTGGCCATTTGATATCTTCGATTTGTAATACGTAAACGCAGGGTTAAAATATTCCATTTATGTTTTCATCGTGTAAATTATAATCAACATTTCGTTTTCGAACAAATGTGTGCTCATTTGATATCTTCGATTTGAAATACGTAAACGCAGGGTTAAAATATTCCATTTATGTTTTCATTGTGTAAATTATAATCAACATTTCGTTTTCGAACAAATGTGTGGTCATTTGATATCTTCGATTTGAAATACGTAAACGCAGGGTTAAAATATTCCATTTATGTTTTCATCGTGTAAATTATAATCAACATTACGTTTTCGAACATATGTGTTGTGATTTTAGACATTTGAACAAGTTTTGTTTGTTTATCTATTTCAGAATTCACGCGGTTGCTTCATCACCTAGTCCCGGATCCCGAGTAGAGGAGAGCTTTCTTCCATATTATATATATATATTTATTAATGGTGCCACGATTTCCCTTATTCTTCTTCAGTGTTTGTAAACACTCGGATTTCTTTTTTTACATTGTGTCTCCTTCGGATCAGATCTGACTGGTAATCACATATCTGATTAGTTGACAACGGGAAGTTGACATTTTAATTCCGGAGAAAACAACGAGGGAAAGGATTAAAGGGGTGACATATATTTATTTGAAAATGTGTATCTTCATTTAAATATGGACATGAGAAATTAATATATATATAAGTTTACGACATGTTCGTGACAACATGTGCTGACAAGGTCTGGAGAACGACTAGCCGTAATAGGAGTTCAGGCCTTCAGTACCGAACATCTACTGTTTCCTTGTTTCATACCTCAATTCCGAAACAAGTATAGATAAAAACTATTTTATCTTTATTTAGACGTAGTCGACAGGAGAACAAAGGTCTATTCCAATTTTGACAAATAAGGACGAGGAAATAATATATCTAAATATTTGAGAAGCAACAGTCTTGTTTTAAAACATAAAACGGGATCCCGTAGATCCCGGGGGTGGGGTGGGGGATACAGCAAGGAAGGCGAACTGTAATGAGGATTTATAATAAAATCAGGAAATTTAAGTCAAATATTACTTTTACTCATCTACGATACGACACAGGTTGTAGAGGTTATTTTAAAGGTGACTTGAAGGTCGAGCAGCGATTATAAATAAAATATACATTTATGTCGCCATTACAATTTACAAATCATTTTCGTAGTGTTCTAACTAACAGCCCACTTTATGTTCCGTTTAAAACACACAGTCTCGACTACATTTACACCAACAGACATTAGAATTATAATATGAAATCCCGGTCACGTGATAATTGTGACAACATATCACGTTGACTGGCAGAGTGGTAGATTGTTTGCAAAGAATTGATGATCTATGGCAATTAAATAATCGAAAGTATACGTCTGTACTTTCACACAGGTTGGTAGGTGACACAATAGGACACGAAGGAATCGCGGTGACGTCTCGTTAAGGCTGTTAAAATACATTGCTCATTGAAACCTGTCTAATCGGACGCCTGAGTATTCCGACAAATATTCTAACAACCATACTGATGCAACTGCAGGTCTACTGAATACTGACATGTTTATTCTGACCAACAGAGTGTCGGACAAGATTTCAGTGTGTTGTTGAAATTTGAGGGAGGACATTTACAAGAAGTGTGTCGCTATTTAAAAAAGAAAATGCTGACAATATACATATAATATGAATGGAATATAACTTTTAGTAGATGTTGACGTCACATGTTACTCTGATGAACGATAGGATGGAAGCAATGGCAGATACTTAATATGCTGAACTACTGAAACAATATATATATGATAAGGGTCTATATAACTCAGTGTGATACCTTTACCTCTATAAATACTCATTCACGCAATTATTTTCCCTGTTTGTATTTTATTTACCCAATCAATGTATATTTCGTTGGTCAATACAACATTCCAAGCAAAGAGTATGACAGGTAATTGTGTTATATACCCACTTAATTAGTAGCTTATTATCTCCCCCTTTTATCACGATTTTCCTGTTATGTAATCGTGTGTCCTATTTCGAGTTATTCCCCTCGGTTTAATTTATATGTGCTGGCCTTTTATTCAGCGGTGCGATATGATATGGTTTTACGGAATGTTTTGTCTCGTTTGTACATGTTTGTGGTGGTTTACTTCATTTAGAAATATATCAAATGTTAACTTCTGATTGGCTGTTGGCAGCAGATGATATACGGACAGGTCCCCACAGTCAAACATAGAACTTATATTACCAATCCTTGTTGTTTAGGGAAGGCAGATTTGTACGGTGTTTGTTTTGAGATTTTTTTTTTTTTTATGTACCGCGGATATTGATTGGTGCTCTGACAGTTGCATAGTGACACCTGTCTACACTGAAGCTATAACAATACAGGAATCAATGCATAACGGCCTACCATCTGTCAACCTGCTGTTTAATGCCTACTTGCTATCAAAACAAAGTATTATAAACTTGGATCACCTGTTCACCCTTTTATGTGAATTTCTGTGGATATTCGAGGTGCCTACGGTGTACTGGTGGTGCAGACAGGCGTTACTATACTTGTCCTAAAGGACGTGTTTTAAATATCTTAATACGATTCTGTACAGCGTCGCACTAAGAACTACATCAACTTTCACGACGAAAACTGGTTTAGCGCACAGCAAACCTTTGATATTATGCAAAATTAAAGCATTGGAAGAGCATAGGATATTGCATGGAATTTCTTAGTGTCATTTTACCAGAAACTTTTGCAAATAAGTCGCGCTTTTTTGCTGTAGAAAGCAATTTGATTCTGATTGTCTTCATAAAAGGATGCAAATTACAGAAGTTTTAAAAGAATGTCAGATCGCAGATTATCACAGGAGCGAACTAAACCTTTTTTCCTTATCTACTGTATTTTTAAAATCATCTAAATTTATTGAAAAAATGCATCACTTTTCAATGAGGATTTCTATGCCGTTTGAAATATATGTCTCATCACATTCATATTAAAAGTGTTTAGGTGCACAATGGTCATATCGATTTTCGAAAAGAAAAAAAACTCTTTTCTTTACCATACGACGATTATAATCTATTCGGCTTATGTTGATATAGCGGAGGTAGATTTCATTCAAATATATAGATATACCAATAAGCAAATTAAAGATTAGTACAGATTTCATAGTACTTCACAAACTAGCTATATTTGAGATGAAATCATTTCTAGTCACAAAAGGAGTCGGTATTTGCTTTATTTTGAGAAGGCCTTCAGTACATACCCGATTTAAAATAACTTACTGTTGTGTGTTTTAGTGTTTTCAAATTTCGGGAATGATCTGTTTCAGCTCCAGTAGATATAGGTAGCCTGAGGTGGTTATTCTGATTATAAATGTTATGTTATAGAGATGGATTGGCTCTGCGCATGCGTACTACAGATGTTCGATACATTGTAGTAGGTGTCTACGATGTATAATGTTAGTTGTTAAACCTAGTAGCACAATTTATTTTCATATGTAAATAGTTGTTTGTACAAATTCAACTTGTATATAGTTTTCCTACCTTGATTAAAATGTTGTTTAATGATCTGATTGAATATGTTGTGTTTTACTTTGAAAGTCATGACTGTGCTACAAATAAGCCATTCAATTAGCGTCAGAGTCTCACATGTGAAGATAATTTCAGAGAAATTGGAATCGACCGAACTGAACCCTGACTTATCAACTAAATACACAGGGTACGGGGTACAGGGTACATGGTACGGGGTACAGGGTACAGGGTACAGGGTACGGGGTGAAGGGTACAGGGTACGGGGTACAGCGTAAAGGGTACGGGGTGCAGGGTACAGGGTACAGGATACAGGGTACGGGGTACATGGTATAGGGTACGGGGTACAGGGTACAGGGTACACGGTACGGGGTACAGGGTACAGGGTTCAGGGTACGGGGTACAGGGTACAGGGTACTAGAATCAGGTACATATGTATAACGTTCGTTCACCCTACTCCAGCATTGACAAGTCGTCCAGAAGACATTGAAAAGTTTAAATATTTTGTGAATGCATTTCCTTTAAGATATTTCAATCCTTCATCCAAAACCTCGTTTTAAGTTTTAAAATAAGGTAAAGAGGAATACAATTTAGGATAACACATACATTGAATCTTCTAAAAGGTGTTCTATAATATACATCCTACTCGTCTGTTAATTAACTACATATTACATGCAAGAATATCATCCTATTACATATACATGCATATATCTTTTAAAACTCGACACACATGCACAGAATATAAGGATAATTCAATATCTCACTATAGATAAATATTTCCCATTCCCAAAACATATCTTGTGCAACAGCTATATTTTTTTCTGTATATAAAGTTTATTGCACACTCACATACATATACATGTACATTCACACACAAATACACAAACACACATATTCACTTTACACCTGAATCTAACTACACGATACTTTACACCTAAATCTAACTGCACGAGACTGTACACCTGAATCAAACTACACGATACTTTCCCCCTGAATCTAACTACACGAGACTTCACACCTGAATCAAACTACACGAGACTGTACACCTAAATCTAACTACACAAGACTTTACACCTGAATCTAACTACACGAGACTTCACACCTGAATTTAACTTCACGAGACTTCACACCTAAATCTAACTACACGAGAATGTACACCTAAATCTAACTACACGAGACTGTACACCTGAATCTAACTACACGAGACTTCACACCTAAATCTAACTACACAAGACTTCACACCTGAATCTAACTACACGAGACTGTACACCTAAATCTAACACACGATACTTTACCCCTGAATCTAACTAAACAAGACTGTACACCTAAATCTAACTACACGATACTTTACAACTGAATCTAACTACACGAGACTTTACACCTAAATCTAACTACACAAGACTTTACACCTGAATCCAACTACACGAGACTGTACACCTAAATCAAACTACACGAGAATGTACACCTGAATCTAACTACACGAGACTGTACATCTAAATCAAACTACACAAGACATTACACCTAAATCTTACTACACGAGACCGTACACCTGAATCTAACTACACGATACTTTACCCCTGAATCTAACTACACGAGACTGTACACCTAAATCAAACTACACAAGACATTACACCTGAATCTTACTACACGAGACATTATACCTGAAACTAACTACACGAGACTTTATACCTGAATCTAGCTACACGAGACTGTACACCTGAATCAAACTACACAAGACATTACACCTGAATCTAACTACACGAGACTGTACACCTAAATCTAACTACACGAGACTTAACGCATGAATCTAACTACACGAGACTTTACCCCTGAATCTAACTACACGAGACTGTACACCTGAATCAAACTACACAAGACATTACACATGAATCTTACTACACGAGACTTTACACCTGAATCTAACTACACGAGACTTTACACCTAAATCTAACTACACGAGAATGTACACCTAAATCTAACTACACAAGACTGTACACCTAAATCTAACTACACGATAATGTACACCTAAATCTAACTACACAAGACTTTACACCTAAATCTAACTACACGAGACTGTACACCTAAATCTAACTACACGAGACTGAACGCATGAATCTAACTACACGAGACTTTACCCCTGAATCTAACTACACGAGACTGTACACCTGAATCAAACTACACAAGACATTACACATGAATCTTACTACACGAGACTTTACACCTGAATCTAACTACACGAGACTTTACACCTAAATCTAACTACACAAGACTTTACACCTGAATCCAACTACACGAGACTGTACACCTAAATCAAACTACACGAGAATGTACACCTGAATCCAACTACACGAGACTGTACACCTAAATCTTACTACACGTGACCGTACACCTGAATCTAACTACATGATACTTTACCCCTGAATCTAACTACACGATACTTTACACCTGAATCAAACTACACAAGACATTACACCTGAATCTTACTACACGAGACTTTACACCTGAATCTAACTTCACGAGACTTTACACCTGCATCTAACTAAACAAGACTGTGCACCCGAATCAAACTAAACAATACTTTACACCTAAATCTTACTACACGAGACTTTACCCCTGAATCTAACTAAACAAGACTGTACACCTAAATCTAACTACACGAGACTGTACACCAAAATCTTACTACAAAAGACTGTACACCTGAATCTAACTACACAATACTTTACCCCCGAATCTAACTACACGAGACTGTACACCTGAATCAAACTACACAAGACATTACACCTGAATCTTACTACACGAGACTTTACACCTGAATCTAACTACACGAGACTTTACACCTGAATCTAACTAAACGAGACTGTACACCTGAATCAAACTACACAAGACATTACACCTGAATCTTACTACACGAGACTTTACACCTGAATCTAACTACACGAGACTTTACACCTGAATCTAACTAAACGAGACTGTACACCTGAATCAAACTACACAAGACATTACACCTGAATCTTACTACACGAGACTTTACACCTGAATCTAACTACACGAGACTTTACACCTGAATCTAACTAAACGAGACTTTACACCTGAATCTAACTACACAAGACATTACACCTGAATCTTACTACACGAGACTTTACACCTGAATCTAACTAAACAAGACTGCACACCTGAATCAAACTACACAAGACATTACACCTAAATCTTACTACACGAGACTTTACACCTGAATCTAACTACACGAGACTTTACACCTGAATCTAATTAAACAATACTGTACACCTGAATCAAACTAAACAAGACTTTACACCTGAATCTAACTACACGAGACTTTACGCCTGAATCTAACTACACGAGACTTTACACCTGAATCTAACTACACGATACTTTACACCTGAATCAAATAAACAAGACTGTACACCTAAATCAAACTACACAAGACTGTACACCTGAATCTAATTAAACAATACTGTACACCTGAATCAAACTAAACAAGACTTTACACCTGAATCTAACTACACGAGACTTTACGCCTGAATCTAACTACACGAGACTTTACACCTGAATCTAACTACACGATACTTTACACCTGAATCAAATAAACAAGACTGTACACCTAAATCAAACTACACAAGACTGTACACCTGAATCTAATTAAACAATACTGTACACCTGAATCAAACTAAACAAGACTTTACACCTGAATCTAACTACACGAGACTTTACGCCTGAATCTAACTACACGAGACTTTACACCTGAATCTAACTACACGATACTTTACACCTGAATCAAATAAACAAGACTGTACACCTAAATCAAACTACACAAGACTGTACACCTGAATCTAATTAAACAATACTGTACACCTGAATCAAACTAAACAAGACTTTACACCTGAATCTAACTACACGAGACTTTACGCCTGAATCTAACTACACGAGACTTTACACCTGAATCTAACTACACGATACTTTACACCTGAATCAAATAAACAAGACTGTACACCTAAATCAAACTACACAAGACTGTACACCTGAATCTAATTAAACAATACTGTACACCTGAATCAAACTAAACAAGACTTTACACCTGAATCTAACTACACGAGACTTTACGCCTGAATCTAACTACACGAGACTTTACACCTGAATCTAACTACACGATACTTTACACCTGAATCAAATAAACAAGACTGTACACCTAAATCAAACTACACAAGACTGTACACCTGAATCTAATTAAACAATACTGTACACCTGAATCAAACTAAACAAGACTTTACACCTGAATCTAACTACACGAGACTTTACGCCTGAATCTAACTACACGAGACTTTACACCTGAATCTAACTACACGATACTTTACACCTGAATCAAATAAACAAGACTGTACACCTAAATCAAACTACACAAGACTGTACACCTGAATCTAATTAAACAATACTGTACACCTGAATCAAACTAAACAAGACTTTACACCTAAATCTAACTACACGAGACTTTACGCCTGAATCTAACTACACGAGACTTTACACCTGAATCTAACTACACGATACTTTACACCTGAATCAAATAAACAAGACTGTACACCTAAATCAAACTACACAAGACTGTACACCTGAATCTAACTACACAAGACTGTACACCTATATCTAACTACACAAGACTTTACACCTAAATCTAACTACACGAGACTTTACGCCTGAATCTAACTACACGAGACTTTACACCTGAATCTAACTACACGATACTTTACACCTGAATCAAATAAACAAGACTGTACACCTAAATCAAACTACACAAGACTGTACACCTGAATCTAACTACACAAGACTGTACACCTATATCTAACTACACAAGACTTTACACCTAAATCTAACTACACGAGACTTTACGCCTGAATCTAACTACACGAGACTTTACACCTGAATCTAACTACACGATACTTTACACCTGAATCAAATAAACAAGACTGTACACCTAAATCAAACTACACAAGACTGTACACCTGAATCTAACTACACAAGACTGTACACCTAA